ATAAAAAATTGTTTATTTAAAAGTTAAGATACACAGTTTGTGTCTTTTAATAAAAATTATAAATTTTATTATACACTTACCTTCATTATCTTTGACAATCATAGATGTGAAAATAACAACCTCAACATTTGAGTTATTAGAAAATCTAATCTGTTCAAATTGATTCTCCATGGAAGACCAAAGTGCTCTGCTCAAGCAATTTTTACTTCAATAAATATAAACCAATATCAAACAAGTATTTATAATTAATTAATCACATATCATATTCTATCCAATTGAAGAGAAATGAAATTCCAATAGATTTCATGCAATAACTTCAATATAATTTATCTTTGATCTTTTATATGTAACTCCATGTAGAAAACATCACTATCATTTGCTTGTCTTTCTTTTGAAGTCCTAATTTCAACTAAAACTCAAATAACATCTAAATTTTCAATAAAAATGAGTCACATATTCATATAATAAAATTATTTTAAGATAAAACCAAAAAAAAAAAAAAAATCACAAAGGCATTTCTTTTTTTTCTTGTAGGTTCTTATAATCAATGAGTTGAAATATAAATCTCAAGATTGTTGCGATTTCTTCATTCGATTTGTTGACAATAGAATTAAAATTGAATTGGATCCTATAATTGTTATAAGAGTCAACAAGATAGGTATCATTATTTCCCACAAAAATTTTTTTCACATAATAAACATTTCCTTTAACCAATTTATCCTTAAATTGCAGAGTATTGGAACTCCAAATCATAACACGAATAAAATTTTTCTACAAACAATAACTATTGTTAATAGAAGTCATTAAAATACCTAAATGATCAAATGTAATAAGTCATAAAATTACCTTCTCATCGACAAAAACTATTTCAGTAGTCAAATGATCTCTGTTACATTTCAAACTAAAAAATTATGCAATGTATATATTAACACTTTAATCTTCCAATCTTTTTTATCGAGTGAAAACTAATCAAGAAATATATATTTCATATCATTTGCAATTGATTAACCATTAGATTTTTTTGAAATTTATGAGACAAAATATTTCAAAATAAAAGAAAAGATGTAACATAATTAGGGAAAAAATTGGAGATAAAATCAAATATCTATTCATATTGAGAAAAAGAAATCCAAGCAATTATATCTTGCAACCAAATTTTTAATTTAAAATAATCTTTAAAGTAAAACAACAATGGAAAATGATAGGGAGTTTAAATAGTTGACACTTGACTCTTCATCTTCTTTTTGTTGAATAATTTTTTTTCCCATTTTTCTTCCTTTGGGTTGCCTCTTCATCTACTACATTTATTCATCAATCAATTACTTTTGTCATTTGCATATTTTCATTTATTTGCCTCTTCATCTACCACCTTCATTGTCATTTATAATTTTCTTTATTTATTTATAATAATAATAATAATATAATTTTCATATATATATATTCCATATATATTTTGCATACCTATTTAATGTGTAGAGTAGCATTATATATAAATATAAATATAAATATAAATATATATATATAAATAAAAATAAAAAAGAACTAACTTAAGCAAGGTTACAACAGATCTCTTAATGTGATCATCTTTAATCCCATTTAAATTTGTCAATCTAAGCAAATCTTTCTAATTATAAGTGAACTAAATCAGAAAATTGAATCCCTCTAAAACTCTAAATTAGAAAAACAAATCTCACAACTTTAACCTAGGTTGAAGGGAATGAAGGAGAATGGAAGGGAATGAAGGGGAATTTTCCCCCTCATTCTCCTCCACTCCCCTTCTCTCCCTTCCGATCATTTAAATAAATAATTAAATTAAAAAAATAAAATTTTTTACTTCATTTTCCTTTAATTTTTTTTATAATTAAATAAAAAAAATTTTTTTACCTCTCCTCTCCTCTCTTTAATGCAAACATACTATAATTCTCAAATCTTTCAAGGCATTATTCGAACAGTTGATAAGTGAGATTGCCATGTTTTTTTTTTTTTTTTTGGTGGAAGTGCGATTGCCATGTTTACCGTCCTTTCCCCGGCTCTACGTTCGTGCAGTTAGAAGCAAACTCAGTTGTCCTTTTCTTGTCTGCATCACTTCGTACGCTACAGTTACTGGTCCTTTTGTTGCATAATGATTTTAATTTTAAGTAGAGGATGGATGAGCATTAATTTGAAAACCACCAGAGAGTCGAATGACTTTATGAGTTACTTACCCAAAAAACCACAGAGAGAGAGAGAGAGAGAGAGACCTGATGGGTTTTTCAAATAAGTTGACTAATTGGCACAAGCCTTTCTCCCTTTTCTTTATTTTGTTTTTGTTCCACCAAATACTTTTTTGGCCTGCTCAGTGATCTATATATTTGAACATTCCCCATACAGTATACCCTTTGAAAATAGTACTGGATTATCCTTAATGTTTTTTCTCCAGGAAAAGTAGTAACTCTTTTCCCAACAATGTTGTTTATGGGAGTGTCTTTTACCATGCCAAAAAAGTACCATGCCAGAAAGGACAAGAGATACAATAGCCCCCCAGTTAAATTACCATCAACAGGCCACTGGAAAACCACAAGCAAGTTTCTAGCGAATAAGAGGGCTTTAATTTAGCATTTCCTCAGGGGCAACACAGCAGACTCCAAAAGAGGGCCAAACATATACAATTTGGTCATACATTGTTATTTTCATCTTTGAAGGAGTTCAATCTTCTCAATCTCTGGTCTAGCTCTGCCATTACTGCCGGTTCTTGCTTCTTTCTTTGCTTTGATATGGTGTTGGTTGTCATCGAGCCAATCTTATCAAAGGCAACCTGTTGGATTTAAAACAAAAAGTTTGCAGTCATGGAGAAAAAACTTCTTATTAATGACCTCTTTGCACTCTTTTAATGATGTCCATACCATGAGCCAACTAATCTTAGGGCAGGCATAGGGCCAAGAGCAAAGGCACATGATCATCATCACAAGTCAATAAAAATCTACTTTACCATTCGATTATGTTTTATCAAGCTTGTTAATAAAAGAAATCTGTTTGATGCAGTTTCCTTTTTCTATTCCTTTCCATCTTTTTCTTTCCCAATTTTATCAAAGTCATTCAGATCCTATTTATGTTCACCCTCCATGTACTCGTTCCCTGAATTCAACTTATAAAACCGTCGAAGATGTATTTTATGTCTAGTCCTCCAAATTTCCCCCAGGTGCATCATTTTCATTCTTTTCTCCACATAAATGAGGGAAAGGGCATATTAGAAATTATAAAGGAACAAAAATGTAAGGGAAAAACATTGCAGAGTGACACACAAGATTAATCTTACCGTCAATAACTCATCAGGGTCAAACATGTGATGAGTAGTTTTCTGCAATATATTGATAACATCGCCTACATGTTGGGTTAGAAGCAACTCATCTTCCTTCATCTGCAAACACAATTTAGGGCTTAAGTTAGCTCTCACAGTGTCTTTGATGTGGCATGGCCCCTTAATAGAATTAACACAGAAAGGAAAACATAATAAGGTAAGATACAAAAGGAAATGACATAGGCACCTTAAAAATTGCCAAAGCTACATGGAAAAGAACCTTAGCCCCCTCATAGAAAAGGACATCCCACACCCGCAGAGTTGTCTGGAAAAGTATCCCAACAAAGGGAAGAAGAATTCATCAATCAGAAAGTAATTTCAAGTAGAACCAGCAGCTGTTCAGCAAAATAATGTAAGTTTAATCATTATTCCAGATGAAAGAGAGGAAGAGAATTTCAACCTCTGACGGCAAGCTCTTGGAAAAAAGGCACAAAAACCACTCAGTAGCAACAAGGGAAACATCAAACTCCATTGCTTCCAAATGAGAAGTTATCCTGTGTGTTTCATTTCTCTAATTTTAAGGAGATAACACCAATAAAAATAAAAAACAAAAATCTGCTAAATCAGCAACAGGAAATACCTTGGGCACTGTTTAGCAAGCAAATCTTTGAAAACCCTTTGCTCAACATGGCATCCTGATAGGTTGTTTGTGTAGCAGTCATTGACTAAAACATTCTCCAGGAGGACAGCAAGCATCCAAAATGCATCTTCCTCTGTTTTCATAACAAGCAACAACAATGCTGCAACATAATTTAAGCCCTGAACCAAAGAATAAAAATAAAATCTTCATTGATTGAAGAAGAAAAACTCTATTAGTGATAGTTGAAGTTGGTAGCTAGTGGAATCAATCATCCACAAAGATAGATAAACCTCAATGATTTTGGATTGATAGCCACAAAGAGAGAGAGATATTTTTTTTTTTTCTTTTTAAAAAAAAGGAAGAACATAAAACCCATAGGAACATCTAACATAGCAAACATGATGACTTATGATGTGATTATGAAAGCAGGATACAATGCATGAGTGTTCCTTGTGGTAAAGAGATTATCAATCATAGATTAGGTAGAAATGGTTAGAAATAAAATATAATCAAAGAAAGTAACAGGTGTTAAGGATCTATTAGGATGCAAGCTAAAGTTTAATATCCAAAAGAGAAGATGGTAGATGCTAGCAGGATTGAAATTATTCTTCTAGAAACAATGTAATCCAACCGCAAAATGCATAGAAAATTTTAGTGAAGAAAAAAATACTACTTCATATAACTATGTAATGTAACCATTAAAGCTTTACTGGCACCGAAAAATCCATCTTGCTTGGTTGCCAAAGTTAGCAGAATCAGAAATAAAACTTGAATTTTCCACATTGCTGAAATAATAAAGCAGGAGTAGCCACTTTCAACTATTATTACAGAAAGCAAACTATCGAGTAGGCATTAAATGTGATAGTTGACCATAGCCACCCCAAAAGAAAGGAAGAAGAGCAACCTTGGAAGGGAACAAAAAGAAATGATGAAAAAGGATAGCATATACAAAAGACATTAAACTCTGCTGGATGGTAATGGATTATTTGAGTTGATGCATTTATGTCTAGCTTACTCCCCTTAAAGTTTTTTAGTATGGTATGATGCCCTAGAATCACCCGTGATCACTTCCTAACTGTAATGAGATCATTGTCCCAACCAGCTAAAGTGATTGCTGTCCTTAAGTGCAAAAATGAAAAATCAACCTTAGTCAATAATCATAGGGGAATATTTTTTGTGATAAAATACCCACAATATAGAGGGAAAAATTAATCACACTCAATTTTCAGAAGTTATCATCCCTGACAATATTAAAGGTTTCTTAGCTGCATTATTAGGATCTACCACCACCATCTTTCTTTGGACATTATTTTTGGTGAAATTATTTATTGTAAAAAAGTCAGTTTCCTGAAAGAAGTAACTTGCAGTCTTTTATGTTCAAATTTATATGAAACATAGCAAAGAATATTATATTCATTATTTTAGGTGATTATTCATATTATATGACTATTGACAAAATTTTCCATCATGTACCCACAAATAAATGGAAGTCTACTACATTCAACTCGAATTTCTGAGGATCAAATTGTTGTTAGCGTAAAATTACCAGTCATTTAAGATTATCATGATTATCTCATTAGGGTTCCTACATGCTGTCATAAAGACTTAAAGAAACACCTTAAAAAGGTATAGGCATGACCTGACAGTAGCCAACATCAGAATCCCGGAAGGAATACCCAACAAGCACACGTCTAAGAGCAGCATGACCTTCTGGAGTGTCCAGCCATGGGTGACCAGGGAAGGTTCGTGGTAAGTCCTGCAAGAAAAATATAATGCTCAAAAGTATAAATCGCTGTTTGATGCCAATAGAATATAGCCTAAAAGGCAATATCTCTTAGAAAGCAACCCTTAGATTTTAAACTAAGGAAACCGATACAGCTAAATTAAAAGCAATGCAGCAACATGAATTAAATTGGGGCAATATTTTGATGTTTTTAAAACTTAAACTTGGTTATCTATCTCATAAACCACCAGCCTTTCTTTTTTTTTTTTTTTTTTGGGCCATTGCCACTGTCTTATATGGGTAATTGATAACCAAAATGATATATAAAGCTGATGCCATGGATACAACATACTCTGATTATTTATCCTTTTCTGGTACAATGAATTCGGATGGTAGAGCAAAACCCTGCCTGAAAAAATCAAAGGAGCTATTTTGAACACTCAAGCCTCCCTCATAGCTACTTTATTTCAAGCTCCAGTGAAACCCAAGATGTTTACCAAGTTACTAGCACATATCTGTGAACTCTGTCTCTACTAAAAGTTTAGCTTCACTTAGAAAATTAATTTTCGTTTATATGCTACTGATTAATAGAGAAAAACAAAATTGAAGAATTATAATTCACTACTTCATCATACTTCTCATTTTCTTAAATCTCAATTTAACTTTCAATCCTACTCACAAGAGTTTAACCAAGTTGGTCCCCACTAAATATAAAAACTGGTTTTGAGATAAAGGTCAGGCTTCTAACCTTTGCAACGCTATTTAGCTAACCTCCCATGAACAATAAAAAATATGTATTTATGAATTTAAATCGTGCAATTCATATTCTCACAAATGAATTACACCTCTACTCTGGCTCAAAACACTACATCATTTAACCCTAATCTCCACAATTAATAATTACACTAGTTTTTGACACCATCAATTTAGAATCGTTAAAGAATAAATGCCTACATTGATTAGCAGATAATGACCTCATCCATTACGGCTTGACAATACAAAGGAAAAATGATGAAAAATTACGCAACAAAAATCCAAAAATGATCATCTCAGCCTTCAGACTTTGCCTGCCTCAATTGCCATCCTTTCTCATCTTGAAAGGAGACATACTTATTCGAATATCAAATCACGTCTGAAGTTATCCAGTAAAATTAACCTACCCTCAACAAATCTCGTAGAAACATTATCGTATCCAAAAATTCTGAAAGATTTGCAAAGACAACGCAATGAAGGAAATGCCAGAAATAATCCAATGTAATGTTTTTTTTTAATTTTTTTTTTTTAAAAAAAAGAACTAAAATTTCTCCTTACATGATCAATCTGCCTCGTAGCTGGGGTGACCTTGCCCTCTACAGCCTTCGTCAAATCACTGTAATAGCTCTCAGGCACGGTAGACTTCTTCTTGGCCGCACCGGAAAGAGAAAACCAAACCTTAGGCCTAAGCACAGGCGGTATGCCCTTCCTTATCAGCCTCTTCAACGTAATTGCATTGGTCAAAGCCGAGAATTTCAGCGACGATTTTAATGGAATTCCCTCCGTTATTGAAGAAATCTGTGGCTCCAAATACCAATTAGCGCCTTTGCTTGCCTCAAGCGCCCACCAAACACGGCCTTGTTGCCTCACCTTCTCTCTAACCTCATTCAAGACATTAACATCATCAACATTGCCTTCAACAGTGAACCCATAAAGGTCTTGGAATTTGACGGTGATATTTGCTCTCCTCGCATGGATGCTCGGCCGTAAGATTGAGAATTGTGCCTGCAATTCTAAGGCAATATCCCTTTTGCTTTGTGTACCATACATTTCTTAGTCTGAGATTTTTTTCTTGATAGATCGAGGACGAAAGGGAAAGGTTTGGTTTTTGATTGAAAACGGTACAAGGGCTCTGTCAAATAAGGAAAACCCACACGCTTGAACCCATGAAAAGGTCAATTTAGGAGCTTAAAAACTTGAAATTTTGGTTCCCTTGAAATGGGTATTCACAGATTGTTGGGAAACAGAATTACAAACAATGAATCACAAAGAAAAACCTCACATCATCGCCATAAAGGTCCCTTTTCTACAACTGAAAAACAAACAACGAAAATGAAAAATCCCTTTCCTTTTGAGGTGGGCTCTCAAATGGAATGCGATTTCAGAAACAAGGAAGTTAAAAACCCAGGATAAGGAAAGCGTAAAAAGAGAAAAAGGAAATAGGGGAAATGCAAAACTAGGTAACAGATCTGTCTTATTGTACAATTACAGAAAGAAGACGGAGAAAAATAGTCTTAAAAAAGAGAGTATTTTTCTTGAAGAAATGGATGATTCAAGGTAAAAAGAGCTGTTCGGAGGCGGATTTGGTGGGGGGATAATCAAGAGCTAAATTTTATGGAGGATTCAACGGAAATATAGGTGTCTTGACTGTTTGAGGTGGGGTGCTGTTTGTCCAAGCGAAGAACTGATAAAAGCTTAGGAGTAGAAGGGGAGGTCCGACATGGGAATGGGAAATTGATTTGGGGGTTTGTGTTTGACACTTTGATTGCAAAATTTCGCAAAAAGAAAAATATACATAAATAATGATTTTTGGATCGTTAATGTGATTAGGTGGATATGGGGACTTGGGGAGAGACGTTGTTGATAATAAACGTTGAAACTTGAAAACATACTAAAGCGAACAGTACTGAAATGACTAAACTATCCTTTGTGGTGAGGCATGAATGCTTGTTTTCTTTTTCCTGCAAAAATTGCACTGTTGGCATCCCCTTTCTGTTTCTACTTCTGCTTGAAATATCACCCTCTGTACAAATTGGACCTTTATAAATCATTGATGGAGGTTGTAGCTTGTGATATTGAGATGGGTTTTTTTTTATTTATTTATTAATGATTAAAAAATATACAGTTAGATAGGGTAAATTATGAAATAGTTATCTTTAAATTATTTTTAATAAAGTAGAAGGATAAAATCCCAGCTAGTAACTTACGGAGTAATTATGTGGGTGCTCCGCCTCCATTACTGTGATTCAATTCTCTTGCTTCATCATTTCTCCTTCCCTAATTACCTCAATTTCTCTTAGTTCAAAAAATAATAATAAAGTAAAAGGACCAACAACTAAATGATCTAGATGGTAGAAATTTAATTTTTTTTAATTAAGTCTTGAGTTCATCTCTTTTAAACAAAGAGATCACATTGAAAAATATTATTTTCTTATGAGATTTGATTAATTTGATTTTAAATTAATTAAAATATAATATGACTTTTGAAAAAAAAAAACACAACTTTTCTAAAATTTTTCAATTGAAGGTACAATATTTTTTCATAACTAATCAAAATTACAATTTCTAAAAAGTTTTTAATCAAGAATATGACTTTTTCAATTTTACTGATGGAGGATTAAGTAGGAATACATGGTGACATGGGAACATGGTCACCACCATTTAGCAAAAATAAAAGTAGACCAAGGATTAAGCGAAATTTGTTAACCACGTCAATCGATACATTTGCTTAATTTTTTATTAGTAAAATTACAAATATTATATCCTTAATAAAAACTTTTATAAAATGATAAGTTTAATTAATTACAAAAAAAATTATATACCCAATAAAAAAATTTTAAAAAAATTTTATCATTATTTTTACTAAATCTCTACAGGAGACTTAGTAAACAAAAAAAAAAATTTCACCACACCATTCGCCACCACCAAACCCCACTAAAAAAAAAAAAAAAGAGAGAGTAAAGGAATTATAATCTTCTGGTCCAAATTAATAGCTTTACTTTAGCTTTTATAGTTTTTTTTTTCCACGTTTTTCTATGTGGTTTGATATAATGCTTTTTTTTTTTTATAGAAAATGAATAGAAATTGAAAATTTTTTTATTTAAAAAATTTTGTTGATTAAAAATTTATCAATTGCTATTCATTTGGTATATATACAATTATCAAGTCATACTATGCGCAAAAAAAGTCAAATTAACTTAAAAGATTTTTTTTTTAATTTGTACCTTATAATTAAAGGGTGTAATTGTTGTATTTTTTTGTATTACTTGATATTAAAAAATATAAAAATTGACATGAATTTCACCATTATTATCATGTGTATCATTTTAATTAGACAATTGATTAAGAACCTATATGGTATAATTGTTAAAATTTAGTGGATAGTGGGTAGTATGTGTGGATAACAGTAGCGAATAGCAAGTGATAGTTAGTAGACAACAAGTGATAGTTAGTGAGCGGTGGATAACGGTCAATGGATAGCAAAAAGTAGATAACATAATCAAATGATATAATTATTTAATTATATAATAGTAGCAATTGTTATTTAACATTAAATGATTAATAAGAATATATTTAAAAATAATTAAGTATATTTTTTATATATTTTATTATTAAATTATTAGTTTTATAAAAGTAATAATAAGAAAAT